AAGAGTATAATTTAAAACTAGTTAAACTTAGTGAAATTTATTGACAGTATAGTTTAAATAAATAATTGATGATGTTTCTAATGTATACAATGTGTAGTGTTATGATGATTATAATTGGTTATGAATATGGAATGGTACCCATGAAAGGAAGATTATAAATCCCTTTGGATTATATATAAAAGTTAATTTAAAAAAAGAACTAAGTTACATACCGTTAAAGTTTTGATTAAATGTTATGATACAGGATATAGTTAAATAAAGGAGGGATAAGGATAACAACTTATATATAGATCTGGATATAACATAAGGAAACTGGATGTAAATTCTACACAGTGATTTGGAAAAAGGATTAGAAAATTTTGTTATTAAATATTATGGATGTTTAGCTCAAATAGGACATAAGGATTCAGTGTTAGTGGAGGATTCTAGAAATAGTAAATGAAAGGCCAGTATGTGGTTATGTATGAAATCTTGTTATATTTTATGATGAAGGACGTTTAAACAATTATAGTCAAATGAAAATGGAGATATGATGATGGTAACATGTATAAATATTTGAGTTAAAATACTTGAGTTAACATGAATTGTGTTTATTGACTGTGGAAGAGATGCACGAAAGTCTTTTTGTAACCAACTGATACACTTTTTACAGCATGTAAAGAAGGATGCTGTGTGTGTTTTGAAATGCTATTGAAATGGAACCTGGAGGCTACTATTCCCCTCTTCATGTTTGCTCAAAAATCATAATCTTGTGTTTGCATTGGTCTGAGGAAATAGGATACATAAAACACTACCAGGAACCTGGATAACTTGCTTCATCCATGCTAGGCAAGCCCAGTTTAGTCTAATGTACTATGTGAACTCAAGCATGGTGGACAATTACTTCAGGATATAATGATAATGAAGGCCCCATGGTGCATCTCTTGCCCTGCAAGCATTCTCCCCGATTCATTGCTCTGCAATTTGAGAGAAGGCCAAATCCCACCAACAGCTGCCATTTTGGCCTTTGCCAATCCAACCTACAGAGTGTGGGGGTCTCCCCTGAGCTGCAGCCCTCAAGAAACTCCCCTAACCCTTTTCTCTGGAGGAGCTGCCTCAAAAACAGAAAGATAAGCACCCAGATTTGTCTTATTTTATATTTGCTTTTCCTTGATATTGACTTCCCAACTTTCTTCTTCATTGTTCCCCTGGGACAGAAGAGATTGATACGATATATTGCCTTTCTTCCAAACGTTCAAGATAAATTTCATTGCAACTTCCTATTCTTTTATCCCAACAACAACCTTGTGAGGCAGGATCCCTCCTACTCCATCATGTTCTCAGTTCTAATTCTGCGATACTTACGACTTTTCAAAGTTCTAAGACACCTTTCTCCAAATCAGCATGCAAAATCCTAATAATCAAAAAAGGTTTTTTTTAGAAAGTTAACCTTGAAAGTAATACCAAGAGTTATCAGGAGCAATTATCACAATTTTTATTATTTGTTTTACATTACTAGCACATTTTCATTAAAGCATTTTAAAAGCCTTCAGAAATAAGAATGGGAATCCAGCTCTCAATTGGTAAAGTACTTCTCAGTTCCAAAATCATTTCACCCCAGGCCACTTTGCTCACATGTCATACTATTATGGTTTTTTAAATAATTTATTCCATAGAAACAGTTGGTAGGTTTACACAATATCGAACATTGCAAATTTCAATGGATGGATTCACACATATTTAATTAAAATAAATCATATGATGGTTTAGTGCAATGTGCCAATTCAATCTTTTCTCTTTTTTACATTCTGAGAAGGATCTGGGATTTTGCTGTTTTGCTGGCTGTAGGAAAGAATGAATCAGATGAATGCCTAATTCTTCTTGGAAGGATGACTCTTTATTATTAGAAGTTTGGTAGTAACTTTTCAGACTAGCACATTTTATTAGAAAGCAGACAATTTAAAAGTTTATGCCTTTGCCCTTTAACCAAACTCCTGATTTGGAGCTACCACACACTTCTCCTACAATCGCAGAAGGAATGTGGATCTATGCTGCAAATTGGGCACTTGCCACAACAATGTACCCAACACATAATCTACAAATCACTGGTTGCCAGAGATGAAACTACATTTAAAAGAGAATTTACACGTAATTCACCCGTTATTAAGTCACCAGTATTTCATATACGTGGAATATTATAGTCTATTTCAAATCTGTTACTCCCTTTCATCCACACACTAACTTTTAAACAAAGTTAGTTCTGAAAATTTATTTTTTTAACTATCGAATACGTCGATAACTACATTTTGCATGTTTTAACGAACGAAAAGAAACGCAAAACCAGTTCTGAAATCACCTCAGTCCTTGCCTGAACGCGCAGTTACTTAACGGCTCTGCTCCGAAGCAGTTGGGACTTCAGAACGCCACTGAGCACGCGCGACCCAGCAGCCGAGCTGCCCTCATTCTTTTTAGCTTCACCGGCTCACAGAGCATGCTCCGGAAGGCCTGGGCCCAGACAGTGGGTTTAAACATGGCAGGCGCGCTACGTCCGTAAGTTAAGGTTGCGCGAGGCTGTTGCAAGGAAAGCGAGCTTGGACGCGTTTTCCTCTTCTCATTTCCGGATTTTGAGGTAATCCACTGTTATCAAGGAGAAATGGAAGATAAAACGTTGGAAGCTTTATCTAAAAATTTCTCCCCCCCCCTTTTTTTTTTTTACTAGCATGGTCAAATTTCAGAGCAGTCATGGAGGGTTCCAGCTACTGCTTAGATCAGTGATTCCCAACCCTGGCAACGTTAAGATGTGTGGACTTCAACTCCCAGAATTCCCTAGGCAGCATCTTAAAAGTTGCCGTGGCTCATTTATTTTTATTTACTTATTTAATTTATAACCCACCTTTATTATTTTTTATAAACAACTCAAGATAACGAACATATTACTGCTTTCTCCTCCTCCTCCCATTTTCCGTACAAGAACAACCCTAAGGGGTGAATTGGGCTGAGAGAGAGAATGACTGGCCCAAAGTCAGCTGGCTTTTGTGCTTAATGCGGGACTAGAATTCACAGTCTCCTGATTTCTAGTGTGGTGCCTTAACCCACTAAACCAAACTGGTTGAGAAACCCTGGATTAGATCCTTATACTGTTTGGTCATGAAGTATCCCACCAAGAAGCTACTTAGCCTGCAGCATTTAAACTGAATGCAAGATTCTGCTTCTTTTAAGACAGGCGGAGTGGGGTGACAATCCGCTTGTTCAAAAAGGATTCTTTAGTTCTTTACCTGTGAGCTGTTATGCTTCCAGTGGTGTATTCTGGTGAGAATGATTTTTTCAGGAAGCTCCCAAGCAGGGCAGCCTTTTTCAGCTGTTGCTTTCCAAGGTCTATTGTTTGCGGATACATTGCTGACGTACATGGAAGTCCTCCAGATACACTGCTCCTGTACATGGGAGTCCTTGCTCCAGAACCACATGCTTCATGTTTTTGGAGCAAATTAAACAAAACCAGCCAGCACAGTCATTGTAGCAATAGCGATAGCACTTAGACTTATATACCGCTTTACAGTGCTTTACAGCCCTCTTGAAGTGATTTACAGAGTCAGCCTATTGCCCCCAACAACCTGGCTCCTCATTTTACCCACCTTAGAAGGAGGGAAGGCTGAGTCAACCTTGAGCCTGGTGAGATTTGAGCTGCCAAATTGCAGGCAACCTGCATTGTAACTGTGTATTTCTTAATCATTCACTGGACTCATTCATAATGGTACTAGATTATGATTTCATTTTTGGCTTAGCATATTCTGTGAATCTTATCACATGATTTATAGCCCCTTTGAGTATGATTAAGTTGGAGCAGGCTCAGAGCAATGGGGGATGTAGTCAATCATCAAGAGCCAAACTTGCTTGCATCTTTATACCTCACTATGGAATTGGTAGGTCATCATTCGATGTGGAAACCATCTCTCTTTTTTTTCAGTGGCCCGTGTGGAGAAAAAGATGAGAAACCTAAAATTATTGAGAGCTCAAGAATGCCATCCAGACCGAGCTCTTGGAACTCCTCAAGGTTTCACTATCCGCGCAGACAGAGGAACAGTGTTGATCAGCACCGAGTATGGAATTGTGGAACTGGATCCTGTTACACAGGAGGTAGGGTTCATATGTTATCCCAGATATGGTTCTTGGGTTTGAAGAATTGTCTCACTAGCAGGTGCTGTGGAAAGAAAACTACATGATATTGCTGCCTTGAAACAGATTCTTTCTTATATGTGTTTTATTTTGCATATAAATAATACATACACAATGTACATAATTCTAAATACAAAAGAAAAAGAAAAAATACAAATATTACAGTGCACACACCCCCAAAGACCTTTTTTCTCCTTATATTTCTTCTTCTATAAGAACTAAAAGATAAACAATGTATTCCAATTGTGCCCTCTATCCCCTCCAAAACAAGTTATATTCTTGAGTAGGTTTATTCCCTTTGCCTCCCACCAACACTGTTTTTATAAAATTCCCCCATATTTTATTATAATTGTTTAATCATCCCTTTTTTAAATTTAATTTCTGTTAATTTATCATTTGTTGATATACTCCAAATTTCATTATATCACTCATTTCTTTGAATATTCTAATTTTGTCCCCAGTATTTAGCCATCACTAATCTAGCTGCTATTATCAAATTTACAATCAATTCCTTTTTTGTTTCATTTATATCCTGTTTTTCTCCCCGCATCAGTAATGCAATCCTCAGTGACATATCTAAATTTACATTCAAAAATGCTCTAGTTTCCTTGAAACAGATTTAATGGAAATTTCTTTCTTCAAATGGTTCGTTAAATTAAGGTTTTATTTTTTTTAAATTTTGCTATTCAGAGGGCCCTATCAAATTTTGAAAGAACTTGGGAATATCCAAGAATACAAAGAAAATTCCATTCTATTTTTTTTTCTAAACTGTAAAAATGTTCTATTCTTAGATGTTACAAAGATGTTAGCTGTTACAATCAAAACAATATTTTTAAATGAATATTTCTTTTCTAAATCTAATCACTACATTTTATTGTCAATTTGTGCAAGAAGAAGCTGAATGTTTCATTCCGTTTAAGTGCTGCAGGTTAAGTAGCTTCTTCTTGGTGGGACACTTCATTGATATAATAAAGAATGTCTGTGCCTGCACCCTAATTTGGAGAAGCACCAAGACACAGATTAAAATCAAAGATATTTGGATTTGTTTGTCAATCTTTCAAAAAGATAGCAATAATGATCCAAACAATATATAGAACAAGGATGAAAGATTTCTCATGAGCCTTTTTCTTGCCTTTGTTTTAAAGGTCATCAACAAAGTTACTTTGACAACTGAGGGTTTTCTACCAGAAGATGGAAGCGGGTGTATTGTGGGCCTGGAAGATTTGCCAGATATAGAATCGGTCTGTTTGGCTACAGCAATTGGTGATGTTATACTGTGCAATCTAAACACTCACCAGGTATGGCAGAATGGCAAATATAGCAGTGCCCAAATAAAATATGAAATTGAATGCAAGAACACAACATCTAATACAAAAGTACTTGCTTTAACATTGCTAGTCTCAATATAGTTGTTGCCCCTTTAAATAAAGCTATCGGCTTCTTGAACATAAGAATAATAATAACTAGCTTCTTGAATGTAAGAATAAAAATATTTAGTATAAAACATACTAATCACTATATATATATTTTCTGTAGTTTTTAGCCTTTGAAATGATCTCAGATAGAAATTCAGATAGCCCCCAACATTCTAATTGTTTTGGAAAGCTAGGGAAACCTGGTTGTCCCCATATGTTGGACCAGGGCATTAGATGAGCTCATTTTCTGGGAAATGGAATGTATGTTTACTTGACCTTGCCAATATGTTTTCTGTTATGTTAGATATGGATGTAATTTCCTTGATTCTGTATCATAATGTTGCCAGGTTCTGTGCAGCAGCACTTAAAATCCATAAGAAGATGACATATGCCATTCCTTTTTAGTTTTTTAAAAATATATATATTAGCTTTTCATAATTAATATTTTTAGACTTTGATGTAATTTTTACTGTTATGTATCTTTTATAGCTTTTGACCATAATAAAGATTTGATTTGATTGTGCATCTTCTCTATGTTGCTTCATAGGGCTAATACATAAACAAATCACATTAAGATGTTGAGTGTACCCATGTTGTGGCAAAATTATGTGTCAGAACTTGCAACATTCAGGAAGAGCTAACACCTTCACTGACATCTCTTGTTAATAATTTTTATCTTAAAATCCTTAATATATATTAATTAATGATGAATTGTATGACCTTTGGAAAGTTAATATGCTTGACTGTAGTAAAGAATAATTGCAAAGAGTTAAGATTTTCTGAACAGTATCACTGCAGCCATAGTAATAAAGATATACAGGTAGTCCTCAACTTACAACAGTTCATTTAATGACTGTTCCAAGTTGCACTGAATTTCCCCCCCACTTATGACCATGACAGCATCCCCATGGTCATAAGTGAAAACAAATTTTCAGTGCAACTTCAAACAGTCATTAAACGGACTGTTGTAAATTGAGGACTACCTGTATATCTTTATTACTATGGCTGCAATGGTGGTCATATGAACAAAATCCAGATTCCTGGCAACTGACTCATGTTTATGATGCAGTGTCCTGGGGTCACGTGATCACCTTTTTGCGACCTTCTGACAAGCAAAGTCAACGAGGAAGCCAGACTCACTTAACAGCTTTGTTACTAACTTAACAACTGCAATGATTCACTTAAAGACTGTAGCAAAAAAGGTCGTAAAACAAATGTCTTGCTTAACAACATAAATTTTGAGCTCAATTATGGATCACCTGTGTTGACATGGTCCAACCTCATTTCTAGTTAAATATTATGGAGAGAAGTTCTTTTTTTTTTTTTTTTTTTTAAAAAAAAAAAAAAAAAAAAAA